TGCTTCTGAGACATTTGCGTACTACGTGGTGCACTATGAGCATCGCGCGGCCTTACGGTAGGAATTACTCGTCTTGGCTTTTTTTGAAATTCTTCCATTTTTCAGAGTCGAGAATATAGTTTTCCGAGTATTGAGCGTGTCACCTTTTTTTCCCTGATAAAGCCATGTATAGATTAGGGGGGCAATAAAAAAAAAGACATTTTGTCTCCAGACTCAAATGGATTTAATCACACTTTGCTCAGCTCAAAGCGTGTGCTCCCAACTTAGAATTGAAGAGCGCATTTCATTTCATAAGAAAATCTTCATAGTGGCCATCTACGTGGACGGCATCAGAAAAGTTTGCCCCGGAAACATGGTGCTCTGGTCGAGCTCAATGGGGTTCGTGTACCGTTACGACGGGTTCCGAAGGGCGGGTTCCGAGGGGGTTTGCATAGTTAGAGCTAATGTCCCTAGGAAACTATCCCACGTTGAATCGATCCAAGAAATTATGTAAGAGCTTCAGGCTGAAGCAGTTACTGTAGGCCTCCCTGAGCTCGACGACGGTGACAGATGACGTCATATTCTGAAGACGGTGAGGGTAGTGAAGGAGGGCCTGCGTGTACTTATAGAGGGACATTTAGGGAATATTTGCTGAGGAACTTCCGTCAACGACGGCAATCTCTGCGAAGAAAAAAGGCCGAAGTGCGACCTGGGCAAAATGTCTTTTTTGCCCCCCCCCCCCCGCTGTGGGCGGCGACTACCATTGGGTTACATAGGTTACTCCACCAATTTGCTTTACGGCCATAGAAATTTCTGATCTAACAGTATCACCAGTATCACATCCAATTACGAAACTCTGGAAACAGGCTTAAACTCCATAGTTTGGCTCGTAGAGCTCGCTCAACATTTCTTTCTCCTAAGTCAGTGAGCCGTTTGTTTCACAGGCTTTCATGCTTCACAGGCCTTTCAAACGTTTCAATAAAACGAAAAATGGAGTAGTTATTTTTTATTAACCACTATGGTCATAAAAACGTTTTCGCACGTAATCGTGCCTGTACTTTTCAATGTCTGCCTTGAAGGAAATCCACGGAAAAAGCTCCGCCCTCATTACCACAGAAAACGATACCTTAAAGGAATCTTCCACGGAAAGAGTGATCATTTTGTCTTGTGTGTAGGATTAGTATTATCGAAACTAACGCTTATGTTCCGTTCTTTTTGCTATGCTCATGAGGCTAGGGGCCTAAGGGGTATCGTTTTTCTGTGGTAATGGAGGCGGAGCTTTTTCCGCGGAAGATTCCTTTAAGCAACGTCTCAAATTGAAAACTCGGAGAATCATTTTTAGGCCCTTCAATGCTGCTTTTGTATTTAGCCACCCCTGACACGTTCTTATTGTTGTATGTGGTATTCAACGATTGTTGCTCTATTCTTCGACAGAGGTTCGTAATCTGCACACCCTTTACATGCTTTCATGAAGGGGGCATTGTCCTGTGACTGTGCCCCTTGTTGATCACATGAATTACTGCTCTTCGTGTTGTTGAAGTGAATCCATCTCCATAGAACTCGGGATTTTCGAATAATGAGCAATAAAATTTCTGAGGCAGCACTCTCCTGGATTTCTTCCCATCATTTGTAATCGCCGTGCCATGTTTTGATTGTCAATTTCGAGTTATTGCTCCGTTTTTTGGACGGATTCTTTTCCTGTAAACTTAGCAACGGCTTGTTTTCGATTTTTGGCTATTCTGACCTCTCTCTCTCTCAAAGGCTGCCTCAATTCACGATGACTAAAGGGGGTGCGGTTATGACGTCATTCAACGTCATTGGTGGAAGGGCGTTAAGAAACAAGCGAGCTGAGGGTCTACCCTACCGGTGGCGTCCAATTACGTCATTCGTCGAACCCTTGCCATCGTCATCGTTGACAACCTGTTAATTTAAACATAGATCATGAACCCCGATTGCGTTGCAACAGAGTTCCAGTGGCAATTGGTTTGTATCAGCCGCATTTTTCAATTTAATTGTAATTTTGTAAAATTGTATTAGGTCGGTCCATAATTTTTGAGAACCTTTGGTGTTTTTCGATTTAATTACTTATCTTATTTCTCTGATGTATTTATTCAGCACAGTATACATCACCATTATTACCAAACATATAACCAATGCGAGGGTGGGTATTCAGTGTCTCTCTTGTAGAATTTCATAGAGTTCTGATCGAAGAAATATTGGATGTCGATTTTGACTTTATGGTGATTCAAGTGAGATTTCTTCTCCAGAAGGTGATTGAGAGAGGAGAGCGGATAGTCGTTCGTTGACGCAGGATTAGTGCTACAAGGCGGAGCTAAAAGAACTGACCGCCCGAGAGTCTCCAATTTTTTAGGAATTTTCTTAGCAAGGCGGGCTCGAACGACCTCAGAAAAAAATAGATTTTGTCTTCCTTTGCTTTCAAGTTGAAGGCGTTGCCATCAAGCTGTCAACGATTCTTCCCATCACTGACACTGGTATTAGTTGATGCCGGTCTTCAGCGCAAAGGCCCTCCCGTATTGCGCCAACGACTCAGGAAGTTCGAATTCAGAGGGAGTTGGGTTTGTACTGTCAGAACTCCCGAATCGTTTGAGCAAATCTACTGCGGCTCGTGGATTTGTTAGCACATTGCACCCAGTCCACATCACCAATGAGTATTATAGATGGTCATCCGAAGGAACTATAGGAAACCAACAGGAACTTGATGATGTCAGATTGGGTTGAGAACTGATTCGGGACTACAATTTTCCTTCGATCAGAACTCTATGAAAGTCCACAAGAGAGGCACTGAATACCCACCCTCGCATTGGTATGTTGTTAATAATAATGATGTATACTATGCTGGATAAGTAGATCAGAGAAATAAGATAAGTAATAAATCGAAAAACACCAAAGGTTCTCAAAAATTGTGGACCGACCTAATAATTTTGTAATCAATTAAATGGTTGATACATACATGTGGCATGAAAGCATTAGCGAATAGAATTAACAGACGGCAAATCAGCGCTAACCAGAAAAGAAAAAGTCCGTATACAGTACAGTGCGTTTCAAAAGTATGTGCACACCCTCAAAATTCACGTTTGAAAGGGAACCATGAGGTTTCGTGCTATGAAATCCTTCTCAATCGATTTCTCGTAGTCGATAACCTATCAATGGAAGCAAAGCAGATAATATCGCCTCACTTTCGGAAAAAATTTTTGGATGAAATTTTTTTCTTTGTTTCAAAAGTATGTGCACACTTGAAGAAGATCAGATTTTGGCGCCGAATTTTGTTTCTGCTTCTTTCTGAACATATATGCCATAGTCGTCAAAGAGTGGCGTTATCCCTAGCGTCATCCGCCTACCTAGATTCTTACAAAGGTGATTTTGTGTATAGTCTAAGAACAACTCGGCCGAAAAAAACTCTGCTTTTTTTCTCTGTTTATGTGATAGTTTTTTTTCCCATTCGCGTTAAGGTCTATCAAACTTTTTTCTGTATAAGCTGTACTCTTTGTGTCCGGAATAGCGCACCTACGCGTGCATCCAATAAATAAATAAATAAATATATAAATTTAAGGCACTTAAAGCAACAGTTCAGGAACGGTTTCGCGGGAAAAAAAAAACCACCAATAATGAAGTTGTAGATGAAAACCAGACGATTAATGTATGAAAAACTGGAAAAAAAACGTCGGGGAGGGTCTTAGACAGGTACTCTCCCTCTGCCGCTCAGCAATGGATAAAGACGCACGTTGGACGAGTTGTCTGAACGTGCCCGCTGTAAACGCGCTCCATTTTTCAATCAATTTTCCCTGTGGTCCCAAAACGAGCACGATTGCCGACGCGTCCAATGACGGCCGGCAAGGGGGCGGGATTGGGGAAATCCCCAAGAACACCCATGTTTGAGGGACTTTCCACCCTGTTTTTGAGTTTCTGAGGTAAGTTCGTTTATTATTTCCACTGCATATGTTCTTCACTAGGGCTCGTGTATCCCTCAGTAGTAGTGGCATTGAAATTTTCGGACCCTCCCTGAACTGTTGCTTTAATCTTAGGGAGACGGTCACGCGGCGGGCGGCGTCGCGCGCAACACTTGATGCGACGATTTTTATACGGTCCTTGGCTTAACTATCCATGTCCAATACCTGCAGATGGGATTGAATAACTGATAGCACCGAAGTGCTGAACCTTAGTGAACCAACAATCGTTAGCTTATAGACGAAAGTCGGGCTCAATATGGGGTATTATGGCTTTTGAAACTGAGTGTAGAGATGCGAAACGGAACGACAGTGGAGAAAAACGAAAGAAACCGTCGACAAGGCCGAAAACGAAACCCTTCCCCTCTAGCAGTGAAGGAGGCTGGCTTGGGAGAGAGGCACGTCCAAACGAGTTTTCCGGACATGCCGGCCATTGCTGGCTCTGTGCCGTCGGTTGATACGGCAATCAACCCAGCTGATTTCACACGTTAGCCAGCCACGCACCACTTCCGGAAGTGGGCGGGCATAGCGCCTGCCAGGCGGCGATAGCGAACAATGCATCACCTGGGGCTTTATTACCGCGCCGTTTGGGATTCTGAGCGTGGCAACGTCTTTAAGGGTGCGTAACCACGCACAGAGATGACGAAAGGGATTGGTTTGGTCGCCTAATCCCGTCCTTTGCCTTCAATATCTCTGCAGTGACTTAAGCCTCTCAGTGCAAAGCCTGTGCCATGTAAAGGTTGTCTTTTTGAATTTAATTCGACTTCTTTATTAATCAACTGCCTGAATTTCTATCAGAGAGTGATAATCTGGTTCAATCAGAAAGAATTTTCGTTCCAAGACCAGAGGAACGGTGAGGAAGGCTCTAACATAATGATTTATAACTGTTTTAAAGTACCTGCATTTTAAGGGGATAAGTGGTTCATATCATGTGTTTCTTGGCTGGAAACGTCATCTTATCTTACATGACCTGCGGTAATAGAATGTGTGGCGCATTCTGAAACGGCATCGATCTGACTGCTTTGTCCTATTTATTTTTACTAAACGTCTGATCGAATGGAACCCCCTGCTACCATAGATGATATGGAGGTGATCACATTTGCCATTACCATTATGTGAATGGGTTTGATTGACGATTCTAATGTATTTCCTATTATGGATAACACTTTAATATTTTGAGGAGTTTCTAGAGTTTCGATGATCCGATTAACTGCCTTCCTTCAGAGATAAGAGTCTGCACTTTCTGTTTTGTGAAAAATACTTTCCACTGCTTCTCCTTCTGATAACAGCTGCTGGGCTTTTCTAGAACTGTCGAAATTTCAGCGATTTTCCGCCGTTTGCTGGTAGACCTTTCCCAAAAGATTGCTGCATAGCAGATGATCCATCACTATTTACCACTCATTTGGCCTTTTCACCTGCACGTTTTCTCAAAAGCTCAAATCCATTTCTCGAATCGATTACCTCACTCGGTGCTCGATTGGAGTTTTCCTACACATGAAGTGGTCCTTTCATTCGATGGTTTCCTTTTTCTCCTGTTCCGTCTACTTCCTTATTGATATTGTCTTGGTATTCTATTTGTATCCAAAGAGAGTGTCGGAAAATTGCTCGTACGCTGATTGGCCTTGTTCACCACGGATAGTCGCTTTCTTCAGACAGTTATTATATTCGATCGTGTTTTTCTTCAGATTCCCAGTCTGCTCCAGATGCGCCTCGGCCTCACACTTTCACTCGTCTCCGCTTTCCAAATATTTCAGCAGTCGGTGGTAAATGAACTCCATGACGTCGATCGCACAAGCATAACATTCTCGCTGGTCAGTGCGGCATTCCCTCTCGGTAAGCTTCACATTCGTTCCAGGGTTTTGATTTTTAAGGATTTTTTTTTCAAATTAATGAGTGAAGTTGATTCAAAGAGCAAATAGGTTTTTTCCCTTCAAAGCGGCCTATGACATGGACCTTTTGGACTTCGAAAATTTATTTTGTTTAGATTCTTACACACAATGACTTAAAAGCCATGGGTCGGGCTGGGTGCCAAGTGCTAGTCCCTCCTAGAGTAAGAAGGAGGGGTTTCAAGGCCAAGAAACGACGCAGCTCCGACTCAGAGCTTTCGCCACTACGCAGCAAGGGCGTTACGATTTTTGCCTTTTGCCCTTTATATGTCTGCTCCCTCTCGCCTACAATGTGCTTTCTCGCGTAGCCTCTCCTCGCCGCGCTGTGCCTCTCCGCCATACCGCAGCCGACTTAACAAGGAAATTATCGGAGTTTTCTATAGGGTTTTTTTGCTTGTTCTCCCCAGTCACGTGTTCTCATCGTATTTCTTAGCTAATTTCCGAATAAAATAACACACCAATTCCATTCTGATCCATGTCTTTTAAAGGCAAGAATCAGGATTACATTGATGGGTTGATTCCACTCAAATGTGAAAGTAGGGATGAGAGGTGGACCGCCAATGGAGAAAAAAGGAAAGAAAATCCTGACATGCACAGGAAATACGAGCATTTTGCTCATGCTGTGGAGAAGTTCAAAAGACAGGCAGGGAGATGAGAGATAATGAGCGCGGAGAGTGGTAGAGAAGTCCGAGAAGAGAGCACATCAACCTTGGGCGATACGACAGACAATAATATCGATCGCGGTTGGCGGACCATTTTGTTTGGTGGAGTCTGTTAGAAGTTCATGGCGCCTAGGTCCTGGTGACGGGTTTCGATGTAGAAAGGTGGCGCTAACTTTGCACTTGGGTGCCCAGCACTTCTAGCCATGGTAAGGGCTTCTAAGGTGGGTCTGAGCCCGAACTTTGCCTTTAATCCACATCGCTAATATGGTCTTCAGAACTGTTGTACTAAGGCAACAAATATGTGGAAAAACTTCCTTTATTTACATGGTGATTAATTTTTCTTTCGTCGTTTTTCCGCCATTTTTGCTTTTCTCGACTTGCTTTTATAGACTATCTTAACAGTATCCCTTAACAATAACTCAATGCAGTGGCGGCATCAAGGTTTTCAATACTTCCGTCTTTTCAAGGTTTTTATTAAGGTCAATTCATCTCAACGCTTTTCCTCGCATGTCGTCCGATTCCGGCCAAACTGGGACTTATCATCGATGCCTGGCTGCTCATAGTAGGCTCCATTGTGGCGGCCATTCCCAGGTAATTTTTAATATATTTACATTCACAAAATTTCGAAGGGCAAAAGTGGTATAGCGGCATGTGGCGCTACTTACCACGCGGTGAACCTGGGTCAAATCTTAGATCGTACCTCGTATAATTCGACCAAGGCTTCCATCTCTCCACAGTCAGATAGCTGGTACCAATGGACAAAGACGCTGTACGTAAATTAGTTGGCCCCCATCATCATACGAGCAAAATCCGATTGATGAATGCCACTGCGATTCTGAACGGAAGTAAAATGTGTGGCGCATCCCAAAGAAGGAATCATAGCGTATCCTAAAATGGGGATCATGTAGGTCGAACAATAAGTTAGAGAATTCGCCCTAATTGGACAGTGACAGTGAACATCGTTTCCCTTTATGATTTGAGAGGGAAAATCTGAGAGCTCGATTCTCATGGTCAGCTTATGCGAATGGTAATGACGTAGGGATCCTTCGCAGGCTGCTCCGCCCGCCGCTCCAGATCTATAACACATTGCCCCTTCCGCAAGCGGAGCTGGGACCTAACGAAACGGAATGATCAGGCGGCAGAGTAAATAAGTTCTCTATGGGCTAAAGAAAGAAATCATGGAATACTGCTGAAGCACTTACCGCTGAATTCTTCGGCATTCAATATAAAAAGCAATTAAAGTTGGTTTTATTTTTTAGCGTTGTCGCAAAAATACGGGCAGCTTCTAGACTAAGCGCCAAGGAGGAGTGGGAAGAACCTGGGAGAAATGAAACTTGTTTGAGCACTCTGGGGTCTCGCTCCTTTCCCCCCTACCCCCTAGATCAGTCGTGAATTTCAACAAGAGGAGAGGTTCCATGCGTAAAATTCATTCCCCACCACAAAGCCTCGTATTTTTACGATAGTGCCGTTTTTTGTTTTCTTCGATGAAACTAAAGTTTTCCTATATTACTGACCTTCCTCTCCAAAATGCCTAAATTCAGCTTGGTCACTGATGTGTGCTGGACGGTTTCTAATCGGTTGTGGAGCTGGTCTCGGCTTCGTCTGTTCAACGATCGTCCTGTACGACATGGTGCCATATGCAGCTCGTCCAGCTCACTTTCTTGCATTGGGAATCTCATTCGCCTTCGCCACTCTAATGATCAACTGTACTCCTTTGATCAATTTTTCTGATACTACCACTGTGATATTTGCGTCACTAGTCAGCGCTGCATCAGGTGAGTGGAAATGTCGCTATAAAGCTGAGTGGAGAATGTTTCATTATTGAAACTTTTATGCTGATTGGATCTCAGTAAGGCACGTCAGCAAAAATGCGAAAGCGATATGGCCTAGCCTGAAGGGGCAATGGCAATAGGGAGAAGCAGTGTTGTGCAACACTTCGTGCCGCTACAGTAATCCCAATTTTTGTAGGAACGAAGCTTCGGTGTCGGGTAAAAGTGGGATAAATGGCTCACGTACCACTGAGATTTGATCTTTCCGTGAAAATTGAAGTTACTCTTACTAAAGCACAAAACTGTACGGTTCCCTTGGTCTAAGCTGCAGTGAATGCAAAATTAAATTTACGTTTGGTCAATTCCTTTTTTCGCACTGCCTGATTCTTTTTTCTCTTCTATTAGGAAGACATGATATAAGATCGCTTCAAGAAACCAAAAAGCTTACGTGATACCGATTTTTCCTAGGCCAACGCCACCTGTATCAGCTAGTCGACACTTCTTACAAGGGAGGTCTTTCAGGACATGGAGCGCTTTTTCGAAATGGTTTTCTGCATGTTGTAGGGGCTCATGCGAGGAACACAGAACCATGATCCATTTTTCCTGAACGCCTCCAGGAATGTCAAAACAGTGGTGAAGAAATGGTCCAGAGTTCGATCCCCGGTGATGACTAATTTTTGCAATATAGTTTGGCGCCCCAGATTGCCGCCAAATGGCGCCATCGTCGAGAATAGATGTCATTGTCGTGTTTTGCGGCAATTTGGAGGCGCCAACATAAATTGCAAAAATTTGTCATCACGGAGGATCGAACTTTGGACCATTTCTTCCCCGCTGTTTTGACATTCTAGGGGCGTTCAGGAAAAATGGACCATGGTTCTGTATTCCTCACATGAGCCTCTACAAAAACTAGGGAACCATTTTGAAAAAACGCTCCATGTCCTGAAAGACCCTCCTTGTTAGAGGCACAGTTGCGAAGAAAAAAGTACCCTCTATTTCGGAAAACGAGAAGAGCGTCGAGTGCAGACCACACACCACAAGTGACGACGGCCAAGAAAAACATGGCTTTTTTCTTTTTCTTGGCCGTCGTCGCTTGTGGTGTGTGTTCTGCACTCGACGCTTTTCTCGTTTCCCGAAGTAGAAGGCACAATGAGTATATTGTACGGTAGAATGACTCAACAAATTTGCAGGAGTCGCTTATCTATTTTCTTCAACCGAAATCCAATACTGAGAAGATGACCGATTCACCATTAGAAGACTTCAGGGAAGTTCCCTCGAAGTTCCCTTCGACATTGATTTACGTTCTTATGACGCTGAATGTGGTTCGTTTTTGAGGCATTGAACTTTTTTGGCGATGGTAGCTGTTTACTTCATATTTTTCCCTCTTCGCTTTGGAACGGCACCAATTCCACGACCGAAAACTTGCACAGGTCCAAAAACAGGATATCCACAGGAAGAGCAAGCGTTCACCCTCAGCGGGTGCATAGCGAGGCACGTTCGCATGCGTTCTCTGCCCTACACCGGCCTACCCGCGGACATTACCCCCGCCGCCGCTCTCACCTCTGCCCACCTCCACCAACTGGCCAGCCCCTCGCTGTCGGCTTCTAGACTCGCCCGCGACGGCCGCGCTTAGGCCGAGAAACACCGAGGAGACGGGTTCCGCATGATACAGAGGTCAGCACGCGATGAGACTGCGCTTAACAGGTGGCGGAAATGATCGAAAGTGACGGCCAAGGTGAACATACATGCGGCGCGAATGCTTCAGCCAAGAATTGAGTATCCTCTAAATGCAAGTGAAAAGAGGAAGCAACCAACACTACCCCTAGTGTTTCAATATTAAGAGCAAAGGGGCGCAGGAGAGCGGCTGCATGTCAGACGGTCTGCCGGAACGATGCAGGCTAGCGCCACCGTGTCTCACTTTAGCTAGCGCAAAGGAAACATCTGGCATTTAGTTGCCGCTACAGGTTTCGACCTTCCTTCCAATTCACAGAATGCTTTGCCTACCTTTCGCTACTAATCCGCTCGCTGGAGCTCTTATCTAGATATGCAGCCTGTTTCGCAAGGCTATTCGGCTTACCACAAATCCAAGTGTCATGGCACCTTAAAGCGGCCGTTATCTTTGAAAGACAAACAAAAGCGTGAAATGGTGGAGCCGCCCACAGTTGCGCCCTCATGCTGAAATTTTAGCAATGTTTCCGCTATGAGGCACCTTTGTCAGCAGCACACATCAGTGGTGCCCAAAGAAACACCACGAAATTTGAGTCAGAGCGAACCGCCAGTTCGATCACAGGGAAAAAAGTACAGTACTAACAATGACCCGCGGGCAAGCATCATACAGTCCTCCAACAGCAACCGCAGGTTGGTGTTGTGAGATTGCGGCAGTGCTAAGCCGTAGCTTGTTGCACTAAGAGCAGCGGCTCCAGTTCAGTTAGAGACTACATGGAACGGGTCATTGGAGTATTAACCGGCAGAGCACCATTAAAATGTCCCGCATGATTATTTGGCTCGCGTCCCCGTCTGAAAATAGGCGAAAAGAAAAACTTTGATATTTCTCAATATCACTTTGGAGCAAAAGGGCTGCAATGGAGAGGAGTCATTTCTAGTGCACACAATTTCGGGGGTCAGATCCCAAACTGAGTCTCCCCGAGGCCAACCAACTAACCCACTGGATTCCATTTAAGGGTGTCAGACCCGTCTAATAGAAGTTGTGACACCGAATCGTGTACGCAGTTCACCCTCACAAGTCTAAGTGTAAGCGAAACGCATTCAAAACGCCGCTTCGATTCTTGATGGGAATGGAATGCATGGCGCATACCAAGAAGTGTCGATTGACGCCGAATGCTTTATCTTTTCTTTGTACGGCTTTAATCTCACTTCGGTAAGCTCTTTCTTCACGGTACTGATAAAAAGTGTAGATTTCCATTTGTAATATGCCAGTTTACTTTTAATAGCTCAAGTGAAATTTTGCAGAGCATTGGAGTGCCAGCAATTCTCGCCTTTTCGAAAGGTGTGTTCGAGAAGTGAGTGGTTTCATGCCTTCTGCCACACATAAGCCATTCTTTGCTTCACTTTTGTATATTATTATCTATAGATTCAGGGAATAATTGAATTTGCTTAAAGATTCGGTCTCGATGCAACCACTGCTGCCTCGCTTTCTGTCGCATTTCCTGTCGTTCAGATAGTGCTTATAATCATTCTCCACAAATCGCTTTTGAATAGGTTATCTTTATATATTTTTTTCTATTTTTTTATCTACAGATCCAGGGAAATAATTGAATCTGCTTAAAGATTCGGTCTCGATGCGCGTAGTATTAGCTCAAAGGATAGCTCCTTGAGATTAATCATGATTATTGCATTTTATAGAAGGGCGGAAGTGGTGTAGTGGCAAGTGGCACGCTTACCACGCGAGCGGTCCGGGGATCAAATCCTGGGTCGTGAGTCGCCCGGGCCAACCAAGCCTTCCATCCCTCCGGGGTCGGTTAATTGGTACCAGACTTGTCTGGGAGGATAAAAACACTGACTTGTACATCGGCTGGCCCCCGCAAGTCATTGTATAGGCCACATCGCATTCAAACGCCACTACGAATGTACAAATGGAAGTAGAATGCGTGCCGCATCCCAAAAAGGGATTGATCAACGGCAAATGCTTTATCCTTTTTATAGGAAAATTCTCATTGTTGGTGGATACATTATTGCTGTGATGATCCAGGCAATGCTTCTTCTGACGTCATACTATCCTTACCTTCCGGAAAAGGTCAGCGGCTGTTTTTAGTGGTTCATTTTGCTTCACAGTGAGTAAAAGATTTGGCATCCTCAAAAGGATGGGTAGGTGGTTCAATAGATGACTGTCATACTTCGACAATTTTTTTTTTCACTGCTTTCTTTTACTCTCGCCCTATTTACTCGGATCTACCTTTCCTTTTTATTACGGATCATTGCAAACTGATCGTGGGCTGGTCTCAGATGAATGTTGGGCTGATTAAAGATAATTAAAAATGTGCGAAATTTCGTTGTATTTCAGCACAAGACAATTGCAATGAGTGTACTGTTTTGGTTGCTGGCTGTTGTGGTCTGTGTCCCGTGTAACACTGCCCTGTGTTTAATTACTGGTAAGTTTTATTATTGTACTTACTCCAAACAATAATCTAAAATATAAGGAGCGTCATTTCTTATCGACTGTCCGTTAACCATGGAGCCTTCCATGGAGCGCCGACACAGCTCCTTTTATCTCTGCGGTCCCCCGAAATAGACCAGTTGAGCGAGCCTTTGTAATGGCAATATGTTCCTACCCTTTCCATATCCCCTACAAGCACAAGATTTGGGATTTCTTGGAGAAACATCCCTGCGAGCTTTTTCTCGTCAATATGCAGTGATATGCAACGGAGCAGTGTGCAGGGAAGTGGCGGGGGGGGATTGACCTGGCTAATGCGCTACAGGAAGGTCTTTCAGGGTGTGCCAAGCTTTTTCAAAACGGTCTTTTGCATGATATAGAGGCACATGCGGGAACCACAGAACCATGGTTAATTTTTCCTGAACGGCCCTCTGAATACCAGAAAAGGGGGTCCTAGTCACACCTTTTTCACCAGTTTTTCAATCAAAGTCTATTTGTAAGGGTTACTGACGTTCCTAATCATGAATTTGGTACTAATTATTCATGCTAACTCCATTTTGCGCGAATTTGGAAACGTCAACACGAAATGCAAAAACTTGTCACCACGAGGAATCGAACTAGGGACCCCTTTTCTGGTATTCAGAGAGCCGTTCAGGAAAAATGAACCATGCTTCTGTGGTCCCCATATGTGCCCCAATGTCATGCAAGAAACCATTTTGAAAAAGCTTGGCACACCCTGAACGACCTCCCTTTGCAAGAGCCAAGGTAGGAGGCATGTTTGCTCCTAACCCATTGAGGCCCCCCCCACCTCAACGTTTCGCAACGGACTTTCGGAAGAAAAACCATTTGAACACTAGAATGTTTGAGGCTGTTTGGTTCGAGGAATGTCCGTCAGGAGAATATTGGTAATAAGTTTCTACTGTGAACTTCAACATCAAGAACCTATGGCTAACGACCACTCTCGAGATACAATTGTCAAATTCTAGAGGAATCAAGATTATCTGAGATGGCGGTGAACAAACAAAAAAAGCGCAGGATAAAAGATCGCTAAAATGCTTGACTGCTCAGGCAGAGTAAGGGCTGAAGAACTGCTAGGGGCGCGATCGTAGCAAAGTCTGACAGCGCATGCCTTGCCTCACTCTTTCTTTTCAGAACAATTTGTCTCTTCAAGTGAGCAGATGACATTCGCAAGTCGAGGGAGAGCCTTGATGTGGGTCTTGGCTACCGTCAGGTGAGTGCATTTTTGCGTCTACCGTACCTCTAAACAACTCTACCGTATTCAGTACTGCTACGTTCACTTATGCCATGGAGGTCTACGGATTCACCATCTGTTTCGTTCCATACGTCTTGATCTCAGCCATGTTCCTTGCGGTTCTGATTCATGTCTTATCCAGAGAAATACAAAGAAGACGTCTAGCACAATTGGCAGACGATACCACAAAATGATATTTATTGATATTTTGTATCGTTGCTGAGTTGTTGCTTCTATTGACACCCACTTCCAGATTCCATAAATTCCATTCCTTCTCAACGGATATTCATGATTTTCCTATCACCACGATTCCTACAACACTTGGATGGATAGTTATCGTAATATCATATATTGCATGTCAAAATTACTGATAATGCATTTCGATCTCTGAAAGCGTTGTATGCTCTGTTTTCGGCAGCCGAGAGGACCACGATTGCTTTGGTCCTTCAGGACCCTGAAAAAGGCGATTCCCCAGCGAGTAAGCCAATAAAGCTTTTCTAGCAGCCTTGAAGACAAAACCTGTGATACGCTGATTCCAGTGAAATGTAAAAGTGGAGGTGACAATTTGTGAAAAAAAAAACGGTTAAAAACCCGAGAAACGATAACCTCTACTCCCCGCAAATCTGGAGAGTTAACCACGGCCATTGGCGCTCCAGTGGTCGTTGCAGGACTCGTTACGATGATATGTACCCTCCTAGTGTGCTGAAGAATATTCAAACTCGGGAGCTAAAGCTGAAGATAGAGTAAGTTTAAGTAAGATTCTAAGGTTAGGTGCTCGATATGAAAGGCGTTACTGAGAAGAAAAAACACAAGACGTTTGGGGCAAGGTATGTCTGGACTTCGTGGGACATATTTGCCTCCTACGGTTTTGTTGATAGAAAGCTTCCTGCCGCGAAAACTCCTCCAAATCGTCTACTCAGGTCCTGCGGCGCTAATATAGTTGGTGAGGAGAGAGGAGGGGAG